TATCTAAAATATTTTTCAAAAAAAAAAAAAAAAAGACATTTTACAATTTACCAGGAATGATAATTTTTTTAATGAGTTACGTGTAATATGATAATGCAACGAGTAAAATTATACGATCAAACGAACTTACCTTAAGTGAAGTTCGATCGTAATTATATGACAGCCTCGTTCTCGGGATTAATAAATGTAGTAACGCTAGTTTCTGCCATATCGCCACAAACTTCAGAGTTCAAAGAAAAAGAAAGGACGGCTGGGTCCTTCGTTCATTCTCCTGCATGCTTCATATTTTTAGAGCTTGTTTTTTAAAGGAAATTATTGCCAAGAAAAAAGGGGTAGGGAAATATATAAAGGGTGGGAGTGTAATCCCTTCGACAAAAAATTTTGCACTTCGTATTCGCCCTTGACGCAAACAGATCAATTTCCGGCTCTCCCAAAAATTTTAGTAATTTTATTATACGTGAAATCTGCTAATTCCTATTCTGTATCAATATTTTTCGTTCTGGACTCTCTATCGGCATCCGTATTTTCTTCGGATGGGATATAGGCTGCAAATATCCATAATTTTCGATGTTTACACCATTGCCAAATTTCTCTAGCTAAATTATTGAGATGGGGGTATTGTATACCACCGGCATCTCATCTTATGAATGAGCTCAACCAACTTTGAGAGCCTAAAAAAGGGAAAATTTTCCTTACTACTCAATGTATCGGGAGAAAGGGATCTCCGATCGTCATGTCCTTCCAAAGACTCATCTCGATACAAGGCTGGAGAACGGACAACTTGTCTCGATAGATGAGAGACCTTGTTTTCTAGTTTCTCTAATTTGCGTAGAATCCTTTCCATGTTGTCTTCTTTCTCCGAATGTTTTCTTTTTCGCGATTTCCCCATCTTTTTAACAAGGGGGAAAAGAAAAGAAAATTGTGATTTTTTCTGAAAATTTGTAAGAAAACGAACTCTGCGCGTGCAACGACAACAAGCACAAAAAACGATATGAAGCATGCAGGAGAATGAACGAAGGACCCAGCCGTCCTTTCTTTTTCTTTGAACTCTGAAGTTTGTGGCGATATGGCAAAAACTAGCGTTACTACATTTATTAATCCCGAGAACGGGGCGGGAAATATAATATACATGAAATAATTATACATATTTAAATTAAAAATGCTAATTTTCAAGATTAATATAAAGATACGAGAAATAGCTGCGAATGAAAAGTAGTATTTTAATTTAATTTAATTTACATTTTTAAAGTAGTATTTTAATTTCATTTTATTTACATTTTCACGTAACCTGTTAGGTAACGAATTACGTTACCTCTAATTCTTTTCCATGGGGTAACATCACTATGTAACAGGATATTGCATGTTTTCTGCTCTCCCTTTTTCTCCCTTCCATCATGTAGTTTGTTCCTGGCAGGAACACCTAATCCATGTATACCTTGCTTTTCGCATAATGAAAAACCGCGTTAAGTTTGCTAGGATCGCAAACGATGCGAATATTGCCTCTGGGCACATACACAACTGGTTGGCTGTGCGGCTCTTAATGGATTTACCTTTCTGTGAAAGGTTTGTAACGACACGGGGAGAATACCGTTTTCTAACGAGCGTTGAATACATCAACAGTTTTATTATACAACATTGTACGATGCAGTGTTGCTGCGGCGAGTGAGTTACATTCCGAGAGCACCCCAGGCTTATTCGATAATTTGTAAATCACACGCACGTTTTATCGCGCTACGCTATAATATTATAAATGTTTTTTGAAGATAAAATATTTTTTTTTCTCGGAATATCATGACCTTAGTGCACTCCAGATAAGAGTTATAAAAATGTATATAGCGTCGCGATTCATAAAAAATGTGCATGGAAGATGAATGCATATAATACTCGCGAAAAAAATCACTCCCATCACTAGTATGTAAGATGCATGCCAAATTGTATACTTTGCATAATTCTATGTTAAAAAAAATGCAAACAAAAACATAATATTGAGCATAATTGATTTAGAGGTAGGAGTAGCTGCGTACGTGATTTTTATCCAGTATAATTTATCGTAAAAAATAATAACGAAATTTACGATTAAGTGAACTTGATTAATTCCTGTAAAATCCTCGGGGTAAATATTGATGTTCGACAAATATTTTCTTCACGAAGCGATCTCTCGTGGGCGAATCGGAAATGAAACTGATGTTCAACTCATGCAACATATTTATTCAGTTATCAGTTAAATTTAATTTGCGTGGAAAATATCATGCGGGGGTGTGCGCTTTTTCTCTCCGTGTATTTTTATCGCAATTTTATGTATAAATCAGACATAAATGCAAAATTTTTTAAATGAATTTATATGTGATCTCGTGTGTTTAAATTTTGAAATCGATGCTGAATATTTTAATCGTTTGAATAAATAAAGCTTTCGATATATTTTTATCCATACTTAATATCTGCGTAAAACAAAAAATATATTCCCTTGGTTTATGAGATGAAGTGTATTATCGTGCAAATATGTTATCGCATAAATCGGCAAATTACAGGTTGATAAGATATAGAGCCATCCTCAGATGTGACATCGCACGCAATAACTTTGTTTTTCGGTACATTTGCATTTTTCGTAGCGTTTCGTACCATGATGTAATTACATCAATCATACTTTTTCAAGTTGTGTGTGTATATTTTATATAGTTTATTCTTGCATGCATACCCCATTCATGGAATGTGAATACACACGGTCACGATAATTTATCTTTGCGAGTATTATTCCTATATAATGAATGCGCGACGCGCGCTTGATGCCGGTGTATTGTAAATAACTGCTTATTGATGGCCACGTAAACGTCATCCGTGAAAGTACCATTATAATTTCCACGATACGATAGTCAAGGCTTATCGTATGTGTACATTTTACAGCGCGTTGTCTTATATAACGAACATGAAAATTAATGATTCTGTAGTGTACAAGGTGTTTCATCTTTTCTCTAATTAATACGTTCAAGTAGACCTACCAGCGATAAATTTTTAATCGAAAGGCGATGTCAGACGATTCGTTTAAAACTCGAATCTGACTTATAGATCTAGATAATCTACAAAATACACAAGGCATAATATCGTGCTCTTTTTTTTTTCGTTGCAGGACGATAGACTGCCTAGATATCGCCGAGGAAGCAAGATTATCAATCGCATTATCGGGACTGCGCACTGATTGCGGTGCCACAGGGTCAGTTTACTAATCTCGAGTCGGCGCGCACGGCGGCGTGTAACTACTCTCAATGGAATTGTTTAGTGCGGTGACCTGCCGGCGGTGCCGATCTTTCAGCACGGTCGGCTGATAACACGCGCGCGCGCGCGCGCGCGTGCGAGCGCGGCTGTGCGTCTTTCTCTGTCCGTCTTCGCGACACGCCCACGAATCTCTCCCGTGCGCGGTTACGAGGGGGTCAACGAAGCTCGACGCCGATAAATACGCCTCGGACAACGTCGAGAAAAGATGAGGGACGTCTTGGAGCGGCCGTCGTCGAGTCTATCGCCGCATTAACACTCGAGCCCTTCGTTCGTATCATACATACCGTTTGAACAGACGGAACGGAGCCAAAGAGAGGCTTTTGTTTGCTAGCGCGAAAATCCCGTCGCCGCGTCGACGGTGAAGAGAGATGCGGGCGAAACACCGCGACGCTTTTTTCCCTGCATTCTGAGAATTCGCGAGAAGAGAGCGCGTAATACTTGACTTTACTTCTCTGACGAGAGAAATATTTCGCGTTCTTCCGGGAATATGAAGTCCCCGGCCTCCGCGTGTCGCAGAATTCGCGACGCGACATTCGACGAGGACGAGCCGTACATCTCGGCGTTATTATCTTCTTCGGAGGCACGTCTCGTCACCCCCCGTCGCCACTGCCATTGCCCGTTGTCGTCGTCGAATTACGTTTCGTTCGAGGATGCGTCACCCCAGCCGTCGGGGTCGACGTCGACGACGGCGTGCGATCTCTGCGAGCGTCTTCGCGGTCGAACGGACGGATGCTCCGATACGGTGGACGCGATACGGACAAAAGAGCACTTCGGCCAGCGCGATCGGCGGCCGATGAGGCGAAAACGCGACGAGAGTGCGAACTTGAGAGCGAAAATTGTGGAAGAGCGCGACAGAACATTGAGGTGCGATAGACTCCCGCTCTGTGAATCATCCGCGAAATGTGCTTCGAGCGTCGTGCGATGGAACCACCTGGCCGTCAGATTCCACGACAAGTCGACGGAGTGGCGGAGGCTCCTCTGGACCGTTTTTCTAGTTTTGCTTGCGTTATCTCCCGATCTCGCAGCGGCGCAAAAGCGCGACAACGCTTCCAACAAGACAGCCGGAGGTGAGTACTTTGTTTTTTCATTCGAAGAATTACGTTATTACGCTGGCTGATTTGCATTTTCTTCGCGAAACTCGAGACAAATTGACTTTATATTATTGTTGAATAGCCAGAACTTTACGTTTGTAAAATACGTATATCGATGTGTAAATTGATCCGCACAAAGAAGGAATTAAAATACACATTTGAAATGCGAATCAACATTGAATCGCCGCGCTATTGGTCGAACATCCGCGTAAGGCTTCGCAAGTCTTGAAAAGAGCGAGGGAGAATGCGAAGGCGTATTGTTGCGATCATGTATAATGCACAAAGAAGCAGGTCAGGCGAAACTCTTCTTCGCTTGGAAATTTACGATTACAATGCGCATATCTACTTGAAAAAGTATCCGGACATTCGTTGTATATTTTTCGTTTCTGACGACTAGGATTGGAGAAAACAATTTCATTGTAATTTTCCTAGTAAAAAGGAAAACCAAGGTAGAGAAGCTTACTTGTATAAAACTTCAATTTACATACTTTTCACGCAGCTACGCACAGAGACCGTTTGCTATTTTAAGAAGGAGCCAAGAGATTACATTCACCTATACGTAAATTGTCTGTATCGCGACATTCGACGTGTACGAAAAGAAGGCGGCTTTGACGCGATAAATATTTACTTTCCGTGTCACATTTGTAACAAAGTTAACAAATTACCTAACTACACGTGTATATCGCGCAATACACGTGAGAACGGAGAATTGACGTCTGCGGATAAAACATGGATAAAAATGCACGTTCACATTAGTGATGCAAGTTTCTCTATTCAAACGATATTATGAGCCGTCAATTGCTGATTGAACGGAGAGGGAGAAAAAGGATACAAAAGAAAATTAAATTTGTTCGATCGCATTTAAATGTAAACAATTGACCTTTCGAGAAAAGTGATAACACTCTTTTGAATTGTGATATCGCAAGTTATCCGAGAAAAGAGCGAAGATGTACGTATGCTTCTATTACATTTTTTTTCGACCGCGTTGGAATGGTTGACAAGTCGACTCGTAGCTAAATGACACTGTAAATTTGCCGCACGAATCGTTTCGATCTGTTAATCTCTTCAGGAATTTTCAACGATCGTTTAATGAAAGGAACTGGTCCTTGCCGCTCATTAAAATTCCGTTATTTAACCCGGCCGATCTTTACATAATGCGACTTTACGTATAGCTTGACGATGTTTCCCCCAAGAACGCGTAAAATAATAGTTGCGGCATAATAGCGTTAATCGGTTTAGTAATGTTTCTTACAAGAACTCACATTTCTGACATTTGTTAAAGAAAGAGAATATAAATCGGTGGAAGGAGAAGAGGAATGAATCGCGCATATTTTAGAGTGTGCACTCAGGAGAGGTTATCGCGCCTGGTTTTATGTTCCCTTCTCCTCGGACTCTCCACTGTTGATTCTTGGAAGTCGTAAGTCGCCTACGTGCAAGCCTGCTTTGCTTCGCGATACATAAAGCAGCGGCGTGTCTCGACCAAGGTGCACGCCCTTATATAATGGCAGGTTTTAGCACGTGTGATAATTCGCACATTTAATAATTTGGGAAAAGAGTCGTAGTTACGGATCTTTTCCATCGCTACTTTTCGCTAGCTTGCAGAGTGATGTGCAGATTTGATCTTATCAACGATTGTTTTCCACGTAGGTGAAAAAATTCTAGAGTAATATTTATAGGATGCATGACTTGGAGTCAATTTTAATCTGCTATTTTAGCTTGTGTGCGTAAAACGTTTAAGTTTAATTTCTTTATTAAACGGAATATATCAGTACCTAAATAAATTCCTATGATAATGACAAAGACTCTTTGCGTCTTTCTTCTGATGAGAGCGATATAAGTAAGCGCGAGTCTGGGAGAAAAAAGAAAAATAATTGATCTAGATTTGCGAATAAATAATTATGTGCATAAAAATAGACGTGAAAATTCATCAGTACAAATGTGCGTTATCGCGAACATGCACGCAGAGTACTTATTCATGTTCATCGGGGATCATATAGCGAAAACCGGTAAGCGATTCCACGCACTGGAATGTTGCTCGGGACTAGTTCAAGACGTCAAAGACCAGTAATGGTCTGCGCTTTCTTAATTTTAATCACGATAATGTTTATCGCGATCGGCTGCCATCGACAAATACAATTGAATGATGATCACAATTGATCAATACCGGATTTGTCAATAGGTCCCGATAAAATTATTTAATTATTGATTATTAATTATTTGATTATTTAACAATTTTTCTCTGCTTTAATAACCTTTCTTTTGTAATATTGCACTAAAATATAAGTTTTATTGCTGCTCCCATGTTTAATAGCTAAATCGTGAGTTTTGCAATTAATTCTTTCGAGATCTTCTCCGTTTAACAAATTTTATTAACACGGAGATTCGCGCGAAATTAATAAGAATGCAAAGCAATAAATAAATGCTTATTTCCTCCAGCGAAAACGATGATGGAAAAAATTACGGAGCTATTTGAAGTATAGAGTATAAAGTTGTTTCAAGATTGATTCATCGCCGTCAGGTATCCCGCAGACGCGCACGACGCGACGACGTAAATGCGCGGTCGGCGAATCACTCTATATATCTGGTAATAGATACATATACGATGGTATCTTAAATTATCTTACCAATATAATCGTTCGTAAAATTTATGTCACGTGCTTATTGAGCTTGTACGGCGACGAATGTTCCTTAAATTGTGCCAATTTCGCGGAGCAACTTTTAATTTCGTTTCCTCTCCGAGTGCATCGCGCGTTCCGAGGGCAATCAACCGTATAAGCGTTCCTAAAAATTCTCACTCTCAGCTGCTAAGGGAGAATGTTTTCGCATCGCGTTGTTTTTCTCGGTTGAATTTCCGAGAACTGAATCCCTCGACCGCTATCACATGCTACATGTCGACAAGCTCCGCGATACCGTGCCGAGATATCTTCACGCCACATTCTCCACGCCGAGAATGAAGATGAGTCAGTCGTATGTGGCCAAATTAATGTAGACGAACCAGAAAATACCTCGTAGGTACGAGATGGCAAGACTCTAACCTCGCGCGTCCAAATATAGAAAGAGTCGCACGCTCGTCGGCCTCTTTTTCTCTCTTCCTCTCTCTCTCTCTCACTCTCTCTCAGATCGCTTCTGGCCAAAAGTCGATCTAATTCGAGGTGGGCGCTCCCTCGATTTAGTAGGCGCTACGGGCTTCGAAGGATATGCGGGAAACCGTGCAGGGGAGAAAACCAAAGAAAAAAGAAACTAGCAGCGAAAATAGGAGGATATACGGCGAGGGAGAGAGGGAGTAAGTTGGGGGGGGGGAGGGGAGAAAGAGTTTGGAGAACAAGATCGGGCGCATATTCCGCCATAAAAAGACCGGTTGCTCCCATTGCGAAAACAACGGAGCCGATAACATTCCTACGATGCGATGCGGACGTCTCCTTTCCTTCTCTCTCTCCGCTCTCGTCCTTTCTCGTCCGCCGAATCGGAGTTGACGAAAACATCGTGCAGCATCCCCGTCTGCTCGATATCGCGGCCGTTATCCCGTGAATATCCGTCGAATTGATAGCAAGTCGATGAATAGTAAACTATCTTGTCACGTTCTTTTATATACTAGCTTTCAGGGTAGTAAAATGAACGAATAACATGTCGCATGGACGTAATTCTCTTTTATGTTTTCGATTCTGGCTTGCTTGCTTGCTTTCTTTCGATTTACATCTCGTGCAGAAGTGCCGACGAGAAATGATCGGGAGAATGAAGAGGCAGTAGAAGAGAGGGGAAAGGGGAATGGTTAATGAAGAGCATGCACAAAAAAAAAAAAAAAAGGGGGAATCCCATGCGCCATTGAATCGTGTTAATTCGGCCGTTTCTATTCCGGAATCGGATAACTGGATGTGTTTGATGTTCGATAATCATAGTTTATGATTCGTACATAATTGGTTTCCTTGCGAGGCAATATTCGTGACTGTTTTTTAAATAAGAATTTATACATTATATATATATATGTATGTAAATGTATGCATACATGTATACAAATAAGCAATCCCTGTTCCTCTGGGAATCTATGGAAATATGCATACCGACCCTAGATTCGTCTGGTCTAACCGAGTTAATGGAAAGTGCGTTATTGACGATGCGAGGAGAGCCCATCGAGATCGCGAGCAGAAGAGAGAGAGAGAGAGAGAGAGAAAGAGGATCCAGGGGAAAGCACGGAATCGAAGGGCCAGGAAGGTTGATGTAATTAAGGCGTGTCAGCTCGAATATTAAGTGACGTGCTTCTTTAGCGTGAGCGAAGATGGAAAACTTCTCGTGACAGTATTTAATTATGTCCGCTTGAAGGAGACTAACCGACTTAAAAGCTTGAGCGAATGTGTATCGCGATATCCCGATGTACAAATTTATTTATAACCGAAGAAATAATGATGTCCGACGCAACTACATACTACATACAAGACAACGCAATCAAGTACATTGACGCGTGGAATCTCGTGTATAAACCAAGTTATAAATGTATCTTTTTGATCGTATCGGCATAATTTATACAACTTTGCGGTTTGGGGGAGACGTCGAATTTTTCAACTCGCGAAGCAGACTGCGAGATCTGGTAAAATTAGATTTCTCGTCTCGGTGTGTTACGAGGCCGTTGCAGACATTTTGATCACGATTTGAAGACACCTCGAGATTGAAGAGAGGGTTGTCTAGATGGTGATTTCCGGCATCGGTTATTCGAAAGAAGTAAAAAACTTTGTTAGCCTTACACCTATCCTGTCTCTACTGCAGATATTCTCGTGTTAATACTTTTACTTTGGATTCGCTTGCGTGTGAAGTACACGAGCGTATCAATTTTTTTTTTCCCGCGATTACCTGTACCGACGAGTTTAACAAGTTTACCCTCGCGTCGTCATCGACGAATGGTTCCCCTTCTAGACCGAGGTCGGAGGAAAAACGCGAGACGTTGTTATTTTTAGAGCATCGACCTGTTCTATAGGCACATTTCG